CCCCAAAACCCCAAAACCCCAAAACCCCTCAAGGAAAGAATTCAGCAAATTACTCATTAAGGAGTCCTAGAATTAAATTTATAAAAATGCAAATAAAATAAATGATAAAAAGCACTTCTCCGAACTAAAGTAGCTACAAAACCTTTTACGGATCAGAGGCTCCATCTTTCAATAAACCTATGCATTCGCAAAAAGCTGAGAATTTATTACTGAAGATAACAATGCAATCTTCAGAAAACAAACCCTACTCCCAAAATGAAATCAAAGCTATAGTATAAAAGGAAATCAAAATTAATTCTAAAACTCATTGATGAAACCAGCATATCAGTGATCCTACAGAGATATTAAAGCTCCATCAAAGAGTTTAACTGACTTTAGATAATTAGAATCATACAAATTAATTTTTCAAGACCAGGAATCTGCAGAACCCCTCATTTACCTATAAGCCGAAGCCATATGTCGACAAGAGACATCATAATTTGTAAAACTACGATGAGTACTTACAAATTCGAACTATCGAAACCGAAAAGAAAAGATAACTCAAGGAAGCACTATAAGAGTAGATGAGGTCAAAGTCAGTGAGCAAGCAAGCTGAGAGGAAAAATCTAAGGAATTTTTATGATGAGACCAGTATTATTAAGAATGGAACTGATCCTCGAAACGTTTATCATCTAGATCTACCTAATTATGGTTCTCAAGTTGATTAGTCAATGAATAGTAATAAGAGTTCAAAGAACGAGATCTATAAATTCTTCAAGAATACCTTATAGTATGATTAAACTAATTAACCTAATACTGAAAACCCCAAAATGCTTTTGATTAGCTATTGAATGGATCTTACCTTGATGATTATTCCTCTTATGTTAAAGCAAAGTAATAAAGAACCGATTAAATGAAGAATTTACATAATTAGTATTAAACTGCAATCAACTTTAAGTCATCGCTGAAAACTCTATAATAGTTTGACCATTCCAAGGATATGGAATAGAATCCTCTGTATTCAATGCTTAAGAGACATGAGACTTAGGATAAGACTGAGGTTCAGGAAAAGGTATTTAAGGCTTTTGAGTAGATTAACAAAAACGAAAAGAACTATCAAAGAAATATGAGTCTTGATAATTCCTATAGAGTCATGATTAAGAAATAGATTCCCCTTACAAATGAACCTTAAAAATCAGAAATATAGCTAAAGAAAATGAGAATTAAAATGTCTAAATAGCTAGTTGATAGGGTTTCTGAGCCTTAAAGCTTCATTAAATAATTTTAACTTTGAAAATAAATTAATAAGAAATAATTTCTACTTTCTTAAAAACATTTCGATTTCAAGGGGTTTTGGGGTTTTGGGGAGATCGGAAGAGCGTCGTGTA